TATAGAGTTCCTCTGTACTTGGCCTAAGTATTTTGTCATCTTTTGCATTTTGGCTATAGCCTCCATTTGATGAAGACTGAATTCCTTTAGGAAATCTTTAACAATTTCGGTTATTTCATAATCATTGTCATCATCGTCAGTCTTTAAAGTTATAGAAAATTACCATTAGCATTACCTTTATCTTAATATTCAGCTGTAACATACTTTTAAATACTTTCTTTAATAATTTTGTTAGTAGTTATTCCAAATCTTTGATATTTTCTGCTACTTTTATGATATCATGTGACATTAATCTTAAATTATTGACATTGCTTCTTCCAATTTTTGCACCTTCTTCTAGTCTAATTCCACTTGCTAGATGATATCTTCTACATATAAACTAAGCAGACAGAGTGCAAAAATGCACATTGTCTGACACAATGCCCAACAGAAACCATTTTATTTTTCCATATTCCATCTTAATATGGCCACATCTCCAGAATATGAGTTATGCATCAGGACAACCATATGTTTTGGCACTCCCATTTCTTTTATAGATCCATGTTGTTGTTGCTGTTGCTGTTGTTGTCTGACTTATGTCACCATGTTTTCTGACTTGTAGCAACCCTAAGGTGAACCTATTATGGGGGTTTCTTGGCAAAATATGTTCAAATGGGGTTGCCCTTGTCTTTTTTTGAGACTGAAAGAATGTTACTTGCCTAAGATCACCCTGGGGCTGGGTACATGGCCCAAAAGGTCCACTCCACCCCCCCCACACACACACCCTAGTGTTATCCTGTTTAGATGATGGAGGCCAACAGCTCCAGGGTAAGAGCGGGTAGGTGGATGCTATTTTAGCAGATCTGGCCTAAACCAGCCATTAGGTTGATTTTAAATAATCAGCTGTTTCCAGAAACCCTACTGTGGTAATTTAGACAGCTGTGTGACCCCTTATCTGCCACTGCTACACTATTCTCCTTGGAGACCCTAGTTGTGGCCTGTGATGTTAGAAGTGGATGCCTGGCCACATGGCCAAGGAGCCTGTTTCTGCCCTTATGGGCCACAGTAGGGGCCTGAAAGGAAAATGGAACTGTGGTGACAGGCAAGCTTCTGGTGGTGCCTCCACAGTGTGGTGGCAGATGGGCATCAGAACACCTTCCTGTTGCTTTACTGGACAAATAAGTTCTGGGGGGTATGGGCTGGATAAGAGAGGCAGGCAGAATATGACTGGGTTGGCCTGTCATATCATGCTCATGTGTTTGTGCCCCCAGTTGGTTCCCATGGTCAGACAAGAATTCAAAACATGGTCTTCCAGTGACCTAATCAACAGTTATACCACACTGGCTCTCTAGAGAGCTTGACATTGTTTGAGCAGTCAAAAGTGACTTTTAGGGGAGTATTCTTTGGTACACTCCATTAGATAATGGAGTTTGTCTGCTGCTCAGTGACTGCACATCCCATCTGCCACCTCTTTCTTCACTCAGGGACTCATTTGCCTCCACAGAGAGAGCTTCCTCTTGGCAGGAATGAGGCCCAGCCAGCAGCTCCCAGCAACTGCCCAGCTGGGGCTGTGTGAACTACTTTGGGGGCAGGGTGTCCACCTGTGTGGTTGCTGAGGAGTGACACAAAGGTGAAGGCCTGTCCTCCTATCTCTTTGATAAACAGGGAAATCAACCGACCAGTCCTGTGGGGAAGGAAGATGTACAGCCAGCAAAAGGAGGGCAGTAATTCTACTCAGGGAGCAGCCATTGAAGTTATGCAGGCGATTGGGAAATATGGAAATGGGAGACAGTTGCACTATCATAGGAATAGAATGTATAATAGGGTGTTAGTCATACCCAAACTTTCTCCCATTCCAAATAATCTGGATAGCCAAGGCAGCTATCCCCCCAGGTTGAAAATGGTGCTGCTGAATGCCAGGTGAGTAAATGGTAAAACAGCTGCCATTCAGGACTTGATCCTGGAAGAATAAGCTGACCTGGCCTGCATTACAGAGACCTGGTTGGATGAGGGTGGGGGTGGGGGGTTAATCTCTCTCAGCTTTGCCCATCAGGATTCTCTGTGCAGCAGCGGACAAGACCTGGGAGACGGGGAGGAGGAGTTGCAGTGGTCTATTGGAATAACATCCCCCTGCCCAGGTACCCTATCCCTCAGTCTACAGGGTTTGAGTGTGTTTATTTAAAGGTGGGCAGTCAGGACAGATTAGGGATTCTGTTGGTGTACCGTCCATCCCACTGCTCAACAGTCTCCCTGCCTGAGCTAACCAGGGTGGTCTTGGGGGTAGTGTTGGAGTCTCGTCAGCTTATATTTCCAGGGGACTTCAACACCCATGCCAAGGCTGCCCTGTCAGGAGTGGCTCAGGACTTCATGTCCACCATGACAACCATGGGGCTGTCCCAAATGGTATTTGGCCCCACTCATGTTGCTGGACACACTCTAGACCTTGTGTTCTGTACAGAGGGGGATGCTGGTGATCTGAGAATGGAGGAGCTTTCTACTGTTTGGTTGTCATGGACAGATGACTTTCTGGTCAGGTTTAGACTTGCTGGAACTCAGAGCCTCTGCAGGATGGAGGACCCATTAAGATGGTCCACCCCAGGAAGCTTATGGATCCAGATGGATTCCTGATGACTCTTGGGGAGTTTCCTGCTGCCTTAATGGATGGTACTGTCAAAACTCTGATTGATCTCTGGAATGGAGAAACTACCAGGGCAGTTGACATGATCTCTCTTAAGCGTCCCATCTCATGGAGTGGAGCTAAATCAGCCCCTTGGTTTTCTAAGGAGCTGGCAGTAATGAAACAAATGAGACGAAGACTAGAGAACAGTGGCAGAAAACTCAGAGTGAATCTGACCAAAAACAGGCTAAAAATTACCTAAAAACATATGATGATGCAATAAAGGTAGCAAAAAAAGCTTTTTAAAACCAACAACAACAACAACAAAAAGCTGGGCTGTTTCGAGCGGTTAAGGATCTGTTACAATTTGGTCCTGAAAATAATGTAAGCCAGTCAACAGCTCACTATGAAGAGTTTGCTCACCATTTTGCTGATAAAATCACTCAGATTCACTCTGACTTAGATGCCAGCATTGATACAGTGTTAGTGGATGTAACCTTGGCTCCTGCTTCTCCAGTATTGATGGATACTTTTCAGTTTGTGCAGCCTGATGATGTGGACAGGATCCTTGAAGAGGTGAGAACCACCATATGTATATTAGACCCTTACCCTTCCTGGTTTATTAAACAGGCCAGAGTAGGACTGGTGGAGTGGGTAAGGGAAGTGATCAATGCCTCTTAACAGCAAGGCAGGGTCCCAACATACCTAAAAGAGGCTGTGGTAAGACCTCTTTTGAAAAAAAAAATTCCTTGGATCCTACTTTACTAGATAATTACATGCAAGTCTCCAATCTTCCATTTCTGGGCAAAGGCAAACAAACTGAAGCTTAATTTAGACAAGACAGGTGTTCCTGGTCAGTCAAAAGACAGATCTGGGTATAGGGATTCAGCCTCTTTTAGATGGGGTAACGCTCCCCCTGAAAACTCAACTTCGTAGTTTGGGGATACTTCTGGACTCAGTACTGAGCCTAGAAGCCCAGGTATCAGCGGAGATCAGGAATGCCTTTGCACAGCTAAAACCTGTGCAACTGCACCCATTCCTGGAAAAGTCAGATCTGGCCATGGTGGTATATGTCTTGGTTATATCCCGTTTGGATTACTATAATGCGTTCTACTTGGGGCTGCCTTTGAAAAGTGCTTGGAAACTTCAGCTGGTTCAAAGAGCTGCAGCCAGGCTGTTAACTGGAGCTGGTAACAGGGAGTATACAACTCCCTTGTTGCAACAGCTCCATTGTCTGCCAGTCCATTTCTGGGTAC